TTAATATATATATTGTAATATTTTATTGAATACTTATTTAATTAATACAAAATAGAATATTTCATTTATAAATGATCCAAAAAAAAATACTTAGAATTTTTTATTGTAAATATTAATATTAGCAAAATACTTAATCCTGAATTATAAAATAGAATATTTTAATAAGCAAATTAATTTTTTGAAATATTTTCTAAATCTCATTACTAAAATTTTATTTATATTTTCATTTCAAAGTTAAGCAACAATCAAATTGAACGATCAGAAAGTTTTTAAAATTAATATGAACTTGAATTATGGATATACATTTATCAAAAATTGTTTCTGTCCTTTTTATTCTTGTAAATTATTTAGAAATAAACTACAAACATGAATAAATTAAAAATAAATATACTATAAATATATCATAAATAATTGTGATCATTTATTTTAAATAATTCTAAATATTTGATAATTTAATAAATACTATCCTTATTTTCAATAAAATCCTTCCTTTAATTGACGATTATTCTTTTATTGTTCATTACTTTGTCATAACCACAGGAGTTTCATTTACTTTATGTTTTAAAAAATGTTTATCATTAAACCATTTGGTTCTAATTAGTTATTTGGTTAGTGGATTACATGTAAATTTCTTTATAAACATTGATATGTGTTTATCATAAAATTGTTTAAATGCTATTACAAGCTTTCTTGTTAAGATTTTAAGATTATTAGCTACTCAATAATTTATGATAAATTAAATACTCCGATATTTTATTAAATTATATTATTTATATAATACATCTATTTAATTCAATACTTATTCTCAAAATTTTAGATATTCTCTTATCAACTGGACGTTTTATTCAACTAGATTTCAAGTATAGCTATAAGAACTCTCTATAATTATGACTTATTTTATTAATTTTGAATTAGATTATTAGTATTAGATTAATATTTAATATTTTAAGCAGGAAACAAGATTTTTAGATAATTTTTCTAAAATCAATTGTTTGAATATAGTTCAAATTCCAATTACTCATTTCATGATTTTTTTGTTGAATTTATCCATATGCTCTTTATCATGATTAATAAATAATTGAAGTAATCGTATAATTGATAATTTATAAAATGGGGTAATGTACATCAAGTGATGGGGATCCTCAACCAGCAAGTAGAGCAGTTTTGAAAGCCAAAATAAGAGAATTTCCTAATGTTGACTTTTATAAAGGGGACTATCCAATTAATTTGCATCCTTCAGTGAGTTTTCATCAAAAACATTGGATGAATAATCCCCAAAATCATTAATTGACTAAATTTTACTCTGATCTTGAATCAGACAAATAATATATGCAATGGTTATATCCTAATTTCTTTTAATCATTTTTAAATATGAATAGCTACAGATTAACACCCTAAGAGAGGAATAAATTTTTGCAAGATCCTGAAGTACTTTTTTATGTATATTAAGATTATGAAAGTATACAAATAAAATGTTGGAATGTTTCTTAGATTTCTTGGAATTATTAGAAATGAAAGATAATAATTAGAGATAATTGATGAGACACAATTTGATTAGTGTCTTTTTACTTACACTCATAATTTAAATAGAATCTAAAGATTTATTTCGTCAATGAGCGTTTTGGGAATGAGAGAAGAAGCCTTAGAATTTTTGCATTTATTACAAAATAAATTGAGCAAAAAACATAAAGTCTATATATCTAAATTTTCAGGATTTGAACCACTTTTAGAAGAAGGAGCATTGGATTCAACATAATTGAGGTATTAATAATTTCTAATTTATAGTGATCCAAATAATAAAAAAAGTTTTGCGGAATATAAAAGTAATTATGTTTAGGAAGATTTATATGAAGAACCATGGGTAACTGTTGTAATTTTGACAAAAGAAGCAATTGAAATTTCTTAATAAGAAAACTCTATAAATGAGAAAGAAATTGTTTGAATAATTTATATGTTATTAATTAAATAATAATTCTGATGATTACATAATTTGAAGAATAAAGTCTCTTAACATCACCAACAACAAGCAAAATTCTTTAATTTACTTCAGATAATATCTTAATTTGTGGATCAGGAAATAGATTAATGGAGTATAATTTATATAACAATACTGTAAAGCCAATTATCTAAACCAGATATAATGTAAAATACTTTAGTGTTCACAATCAACAATATTATTCAAGCGTAGATGATTAATACAATATTCTATGTAATGGCAAACATATTAAGAGTAAAAACTAGCAAATCAAATAAATTAAGCATAGTCCAGATGGAAAGATGATAGCAATTGCTTATCTAAATAAATTAATTATATACACCTTATAAATGGAAAAGATAAAAGTGCATTCCAATAAGCATAAAATTAATGGAATTTGTTGGTCACCAGATAGTCGATTTATATTATCTTGGGGTGATGATAATTCTGTAATTATTAATAATGTCTTTAAATTGAGATTATATACTGATATTATGTTGTAAGCTCATAAATTCAAAATAGCTTCAGCATTTTTTTTAGGATCTAATGTTTAATATATAATGACCATCGATGTTCTAGGAAAAGTCTGTTTATGGAAATTTGTTACTGATTATGTTACTGAATAATATGAAGCAAGATAAAAATTCTAAAAAACAAAGGCCTAACATCATTTAGGAGTTGATAATGATTAGTCAGAATACTCAATAGAGGAATTGAAATATATGAGCGATTTTGAAAAGAATGTTCATAAAGGTAGATTCATTTTAGAGAAGAAAATAAATATCAAAGAAAAATTGGTAAAGCATTTTGCAGCGATTAAATCTGTCGCATATCATTCATCCAATATGATGATTGTTGGAATGAAAAATGGAGTTTTAACATTGTTTAAAATAGAACCCTCTGAAGATCCTTTCTTAATTTAAATATAAAGCTTTTAAATAACCCAAACATAAATTGATAATTTGGCAATCAATAAAAATGGAAATTGGATAGCTTTAGGTATGAGAAATACTGGATAATTGATTGTTTGGGAATGGAGATCTCAGAGTTATATTTTAAACTAATAATCATTGAGTTACGAAACTACCTGCTGCACTATTAGTTAAGATTTAACTACAATAGCAGTTGGAACACTAGGAGGAATAATTAGATTGTATGACTAAACTTCAAATTTCTGTATAGCTAAATTCAATGATTAACATAATTCTAAAGTAACAGGCATAAAATATTGTCCTTCTAAACAAGGGGTATTAATATCTTGTTCACTTGATGGAACTGTTAGAGCCTATGACACTATTAGATTAAAATGTTTTAGAGTTATGTAACCTGAAATATTGAATTAATTATAATGTTTAGATGTAGAACCTTCTGGCGATTTGATTTGTGTAGGTGGTTTTGATCCTTATGAAATCTATGTTTTTAGCTTATAAACTGGTTAATTAGTAGAAGTAATATCAGGCCATTAAGCTCCAATTACATCAATTAAGTTCATTTAAGCAGAGGAGAAGGTATTATTAATCTCAGGTTCTTGGGATAAAACTATAAGAATTCATGATTTATATGCCAGAGGGATGAAGGAAGGTAGTGGTGGAGATTCAATGTTACACAATAGCGAAGTTACTGCACTCGCCACTAGAGATAATTAAATCGCTGTGGCTACTATGGGTGGTGAATTGGTTATATGGGATGTTAATGAAAGTTTAATATTATTTACTTTTGATGTTCATAGAGATGTCTAAGGTGGCAGGATTTCTAGAGAAACTTTAGCAGCTTAAAAAAATTAAAATTTAAAGTATTTTGTTACTATTGAATTTTCAAAAGATGGGTAATATTTAATTGGAGGAGGTAATAGTAAATTTATTTGTCTTTATGATATGAAATATAGAATATTGATAAGGAGATTTATTATTTCAAATAATTATTCTCTTGATGGAATGAAATTAAAAGTGAACTTTAAAACTATTGATTAAGAGAATAAAAATATTGAAGAATCTGATGATGAAAGATAAAAAGATAATTTACCAGGAGCTAAGACATTTGATGTTTCAAAAAGGAGTAGTAAAAGAGTTCCTGTTTCAGTATTTAATTTACAATTTACCGAATCAAATAGAGAATTTATTGTGTCTTCAAGTGAAGGAGTTTCTATTTTTGGATCAGCAAAAAGAAGATAATATTTTGATCCTTTAGATATTGATGAAACTGTGTCATTAGAAGAAATTTAAAAATAAATCAATTAATAAAACTATATTGAAGCATTAATATTAAGTCTTAAATTAAATGAAGCCAGTATTTTAGACTAAGTTTTTAACTCAATTCCAGTAGATTCTATTATAACAACTGTTCCAGCCATACCAGAATCATTAATTGTTAGATTATTGGAAACCATAATAAGATCAATGCAAATTAATAGATCAGTCGAATCATGTCTAATTTGGATTAAATAAATATTAATAGATTTTGCTCCATTAATTAAAGGATCAACTGCAAATAAGAAAGTAATTTTATAATAAATTTTTAGGTTTAAAATATGCTATAAGAAGTCTTAAAATAAATTAGACTTGATTTTAACAGAATAAAGAATCCGATAAGAAAGTGTATCAATATTTTAGAATATTTATCAAGTTGATGATATATGTATGTATAATAAATTTAAGTAATCATCATATATTGCCATTTCTTTCAGTTATTGATGTAGGTTGACTAATTTTTCTTTTAAAAACTTCTTTTTACTATCTTGTTGATTAACTTTACTCAACTAATAAACTTGAACTACTTCTTGATATATGTTCAGAAGGACTCTTCTCTCTTAATATATTATTATTAGGATATCTTCTAATTAAGTGTTTAATATTATGTTAAGAATAAAATGAATTATCTATGTTGCTTTTATTAGCAGGTTATTTTTTAACAAAATTTTATTTGTTAGGACTTGTATCTGATATGAGTCTTTCTTCAATTTTTAATAAATCTTCTAATTTTACATGTTTAAATTATTATTAAGGTTGTTCTTATTCTCTAAGTGATGGCAATGGAGACTCAAATGAAAATTCCTAACAAATAGGCATCTATAAGATTTATTCTCTTAATTCAGGTGATCTTTCATCAACTATTTTTGAATTAGATTCTTATTATTTCCTTTAAATATTAATTATTTAAAGAAAAAAGTCCATATATATTTATTTGTCTGTATTTTCAGCACATTTCATTAACATTTATAAATTTGAAGGCTCAAACAATTTAGCTTTGTCTAATACTTAAAAAGCCTTTCTAATATGATCAAATTCACTTGTTTTATCTCTTGAACTTTCTAACTTTGAGTCCCATTCACCAATATCATCCATTTATGGGGGTTATATATGGGATATCTTTGTAAGATCAAAGGATTAATTATCAAGTAAGTTCTTATAAGCCTCTCCACATAACTCACTTATATCATGAACTTATTTTTAAGTTTCTTACAAAGAAGTTTGGGTATCATCATAAAGTAATTTCTCTATTTCTTGCATTTATAATTAGATTTCGCTTTTTTCTTTTAAAATCTATTTTTATGTTTAAGCTAAAGCAATTCCAGACTTTTACAATGAATCACACATTTTGAATAATTATTGAAGTTTAGTCTAAATTAATTGTAATCTACTAAATAGTTGAATGAAGTCTTGTAACTAAATTTCAACAAACTAGGAAATCTTCTAATGTTTATAAGGTTTTAGAATATTGAAAATGTAATTCAAATTTTCGACTAATAGTTTTTTGATTTAATTCATTAATATATAAATTAAGATAATCACTCTTTCTTTGCTAAAAGGTTTGTATCTGTTCTAGCTGCGACTGTCTTAAATTTTTCCATTTTAAATGGTTCTTTTTTTTCAGCTCCTTTAATCACTGCAAGTTTTTTATGATTACTATCATGAAATAATTATGATGCCTTATTTGGTCTAACAATTGTATTAGTCATTTTGGATTCCTATATGATATAAGGTGAAAAATGATACTTATGAGCCAGCTCTTTTGTAATATTTGTCTAATGTAATTGATGCTGCTTCTATTCCATAAGAATTACCCATTACTAATTTCATAGGAGTGGATGGTCTAAGGAATATATTTAGATAATAATATAAACCTGTTTTTTCTTCCGTATCTAAACTCCTCTTCTGGTAATTCAATAGCTTAAATGTTAGTGCCTTTTTTAACTTGTAATCGAGCATCATGAGTTTATCTGAATTTATACATATCCTAGAAGGAATATCAAATTAAGTTACATGTGCAGTAAGAGATCCATTGAAAACAGACATCTTATTAAGTTCAGCAAAATCTCTATTTGGAATTCTATCCTAAGATTCTTGATGAAATTTCCAAGTCATTGTTACTGAAATAAATTAGATAAGTAAATAATTACCTTCTTTGGCACCTTCTTTGTCTCTGATAAGAGGAAGGCCATAGATATAATCTTATTTTGGCAAATTGTATGTTGAGGGTTTTGGTTTTCCAACATCATCCTTCATAAGCACTGGATTTGAATAATTATGCGAGAAAGGAGGAGTTGTATACATTATTAATAAAAATATGAATTTATTAAATTATGACTTTATTGCTCAAGAAAATTTGAAGTTTTTAAAAACATACAAATACAAAGGCACTGATTAATCGTTGCTGTATAATTATGTCCTTTCACCTTTTGCAAATTGGTGTTTAAAATATGTGCCTTTTAATGTGGCGTAAAAGAATTTTCATAAAAAAAAGTCCTAATACGCTTACCTTGTTGGGACTAATATGCATCATAATTTGTCACATATTATTTTATTTTGTGATGGGAGACAACTTTTAAGGAACAATACCAGATTGGTTATTGTGGACAACGTTCATTTTACATATGATCTATATGGTAATTATATTTTACCTAAATTAGAATTTTGATAATTTAGATGGAAAATAAGCCAGAAGAACAAGTAATGTAGTTAATAAATTGTATTTATAGACAATTCATCTCCTTTGGGTATGATTTTGGATCACAATTTTGATTCTATGATCATTGCAATATAAGGTAATTTATGGACGTAATTTAGGTACAAATTTCGTCACATGTCTTTAATGTGGATAATCATTATTAGCATTTTTATTAATATGTGTTCCAACTTATCCATTCTATATCATAGCACATGAAGAATACTATACACATGAAATGAATTTGCCAATAATTAATGCTGCTGCAGAAGGCACTGTTTTTGTTGGTTCATTATTTGCCATTAATGCCATATTTGGTATTTTTTTATTGAATTTATTCAAGGTTGCGATTTTTGGACTTAGAAGATGCCACAGTTTTATAATTTATAATTTAATACAGTGGCTATAATTATATTTTTTGTGGTTGTTGCCTTTGGACTTCCATTTGTGTAATTAAAATTCAAATATTATTTATCAAGGTTCAAGAAAATTACAAAATTCGTCCCGCTTTCTCAAGCCCTTAAATCTCAAAGGTACATGCTATTCACGGGCTTAGTGTTATTTTATGTAATACTCTTCTCTCCAAGTGATGTTGGTTCTAGACACATGAGAGCAATTCTCTATATATTTGGTTTCACAATGAGCAAAGCTGTGGTATTGAAATCATATTTATTTAAGGGTATTGTGGCTGTATATCATGTTAGTAATTAAGATTTACCTAATTATTTGAATTCTATTTATCTCTTCTTCGTATTGCTGTTTAATACGATATATGGGTAAATTTTTGGATAAACAATAATTGAAGAAGGATTATTATTATAAATAATAGCTTTGATAACTGTTCTTGTCCACATCCATTTCTTGTACAATATAACTAGATAAATTAGCCAAGCTTTGAAAATTAAAGTATTTAAAATCAATAAATGATTAAATTTATAAATGGATATTAATATAGGAGAAACACTCTTCATTATTGTAGGTGCTGCCATTTCTATTTCAGTTGGTGAATTAGTATCATGGTTCCTTGTTTATAGAAATGCAGATTATAAGGACCTTGTATCTAGAATAGAGACTGCTGTTTCCAAATATAATAAAGAGAAGGAATAATTTGTTAAGTAATTCATTTTCTTATATGCTTTATCAGAGAAACAAATGCTAAAAATTAAGAGAAGAGATTAGCATAAATTGAATCATAAATTAAAGGATTGAATTATGAAATGACATTTAAGAAAATGATATCAAATGCAGCAGTAGCTATACTTTCTATTGTTACAATTAATTCAATTGGTAATTATTATTCAGGAATTGTTGTGGCTAAATTACCATTTGAACCATTTTGGATTCTTTAACAAATTACTCATAGAGGACTTAATGGTGACGATTTAACAGATTGTTCCTATATATTCATTTATATTTTATCAGCACTCATATTTAAATCTAATATACAAAAAATATTTGGTATCTATTTAATTTATTATTCCTAGGCTTGGAAGGTCCTAAAATGCCATTTGGTCCTGGTGGTCCTCAACCTAGTTTATTCAAATAGTGAATATATACATTACAATATTATTAATTAACTTTATTTAATTGTTTCTATTATCTCTTCATATATATTCTGAATTTAATATATTTATTATTTAATAATCAAATCAAAACTACATCTATTGATGAGTTAAGAAGAATATTAAAAATAAGAAGAAGCTCCAGATGTTAATGTTCAACCAACTATTGGATAAGTTTAGTAAATATCAAAGAGAAAAAACAAAAAGAGAACAATTTTAAATCCATAATAGAGTACTGGACATTGGAATGAATAAGAACATAAAACATATATCAATTTTCTCAATGTACATAGATCTGTTATGGAATCATCTGATTAAAAAAAAACATCTAAAATATTTAAACTCATGAGTGAAACAATAGGAACAAGAAGTCCTTCATAATGTAGGTATAATTACTTTTGCATATTGAAAGATCTCACCATTAAAAGTTTAATCCTTTCTCTCATCATGTAAAAAAGAGATAAAAAGGTGCTGGACGTAAGAAAAAAGAAAGTAATTCATAGATAGATAAAGTTAATAATGGATTCCTAGAAAATGCTTGTTTTCCTTAATTTATGTTTTAACCAACTGCTCCTTATTTCCCCTAACAACCTTTTGTAAATATTAAAGAATGAGATTATAGGATTTCTAAATGATGTAATTACAATAGTTTCCATTTATGATGCAATATTTAGATTAAGCAAATAAGGATGAAGAAAAAGTAGTTTAATAAGATCCATCTGTTTGTTTTCATCAATTTTTTATGAATCCTCAACAAGTATATGATGATAAGAACTAATTTTACAATTTTGGTTTTCCACAATAATAACAAATGCAATTCAACTTTAATTACTTTTAATAATTACCAAATGAATTCTATGGTACCAATTCGGCTGAAATCATCCAAAAAGATAATTAATTAGAAGATCAATGATTTAATTATATTGTTTTATTAAGTTGCATTTAAAGAATATAAAGCAAAGAACATATGGTTATATAGACTGATATCAAATTAATAAATAAAGTCTTATCAAAAAATAATTAAATCAAAGTTGTCTTTATAGTTTTAATCTTTTAAATAGAAAAGAATATCTATACGATATCTAAGTTTGTTGAAGAAAATAATGATTAAATAATTTATGTT